TCGCACTTACCCCCACTCCCGCCTGGCTCCCTCGGTGCAGTTTAATGACTGGTACTGCCCCGAAAGGGGGACGGTGCCCTACCCGGCTTGGCAGCTGGCCCGCTTCCCAGTTCACCAGCCTGCCTCCCAAGCCATGCTGTCGTCGTGGCACGCCAGCTACAGCGTCAGCCCTCCCCGGCTTGGCGTGGACACCAGGCATTACTCCAAATCCTGGGACAATATTTTGACCCCTCACGTCCGCCGGGAAGACCAGCTGCTGCGTGGCCGCAGCTACGAGAACCTGCTGTCCCGGGACCCCCATCGGGCGTTCTCCCCGGATGACCGGCGCCAACCAGTGGTGGTGAACCTCTCCAGCTCCCCCAAGCGTTACGCTGCCCTTTCCCTCTCGGAAAATTCCCTCGTCGAGAAGTTGCATGCCGACAGGGGGCGCCATGGCTGGTTCGTCACGCCAGAGATCACCATCACGGACAACGACATCCGAGCCCACAACGGGCTTGGCAAACATGAGAGGCGCTCGGCCAGCTGGGACGTCCTGGATTCAGGGGACGCCCGAGACAGGGCCTACGTCCCCCGCCAGCCCTACGGCCCAGACCCTGGTGGCAAAGAGAGCAGCGCCCGCCAGCGCAGCCTGGAGCAGCTGGACGAGCTCATCACCGACCTGGTCATTGACTACAAGCCCCCTTCCGTTTGCCAGCCCAGCGAGGTCAGCAACTTGGCCGACCAGCTGCGGCAGTTGATCAGCGACGGGCTGGGGCTGCCTCCCAAGAAGCCGGACCCTTGGAGGTCCTCGGAGCCCCATCCCACCAAAGAGCAGCCTGGCCGCAGCTCCTTCCATGCTGAGCTGTGGAAGGACCAGGGACGCCGCTCCGCTGAGCCCCCGGCGCCCGGTAGGCCCTTGGACAAAGGCCCCGAGGACTGTTCCCCAGAGCTCAGCGCTGACGAGGACGACCTGATGATGTGCTCCAACGCCAAGTGCCGTCGCACCGAGACCATGTTCAACGCTTGCCTCTACTTCAAGTCGTGCCACAGCTGCTACACCTACTATTGTTCTCGCCACTGCCGGCGGGAGGACTGGGACACCCACAAGGAGAGCTGCATCTACGGGCGGATTGGTAGCACCTGCCGCCACGTGCTGCAGTTCTGCCGAGAGAACGGCGAGGTGCACAAGGCCTTCTCCCGCATCGCCAAGGTGGGCTTCCTGTCCCGGGGCCGAGGGCTCCTTTTCCTGGGCTTCCCCAGCTCGGGCTCCGCCGAGAACTTCCTGCAGTTTGGCCTGGAGAGCTTGCTGATGTCCCCCACTTACCTGTCGCTGCGGGAGCTGGAGGGCTATTCGGACAACCTCGGGGAGTACGCCCAGGAGCTGCAGGAGGCGGGCCAGCAGTACGACCCCCAGGAATGTTTCCTCCTGAATGTGACCGTGGCGGTAGGGCAGGAGGTGCCCGAGCAGCCCTCGCCCAAGGTGCAGGTGCCAACCGTCCGCAAGTATGCCAAGATGGCCTTGGCGTCCTCCAGCCCCGAGAAGAAGATCCTCAAGAAGGAGCGAGAGATGGAGACGCTGATCCTGACGCCCCCTCCCGGCACAGCCGACCTGGACAAGGACGGCGAGGAAGGACGCAAGGCACGAGAGGTTTGCTTCATCAACATCCAGCGCGAGCTGCGCATTCGCGGCGTCTTCCTGCGGCACGAGTTCCCGAAGGTTTACGAGCAGCTGTGCGCCTTTGTGGAGAGCAACAAGCGCTTCACGCCCACCACCATCTACCCCATTGACAAGAGGACTGGCAAGCAGTTTATGTGCATGATCATGGCTGCCTCCGAGCCGCGCACCCTCGACTGGGTGGCCAGCCCCAACCTCCTGGATGACATCATGTGAGCCCAGCGCTTTGGCCAGAGGGCTGCGGCCTCTTCCCTTCTCCGCTTAGGTCAATGCTGAGGTGATGGCTAGCCTGTTGCTGTAATTTCCAAGCAAGGAGGGGTCCAGACGGGGCCCAGCAAGGGACGGGGCCCCTGGGAGAGAGCGGGGCTGCGTTGGTGGCCCTTGTGCCCTCACTGGGCATGGGCCCCTGTCCCTGTTGGAAAGATGAGCCCAAATCCGGTCACCTTCAGAAAAGTGGATATTTTAGGAATGGGCGGGCTTTGTTGGTCAACTTTTAAGGCAACAATAGGCAGCCTTAAAGTCCCATTTTCCTTCTGAATTCCTGCAGTCAGGAACGTTCTTACTTCGTGGGATGATTTCCTTTATTATTATTATTATTTTAAAAAAATGGATCCTGGAGAATAAAAGCGAAGTAGGGGGAGTTTCCTGCTGGCATTTTAATTGGGGGTTCTTCTTCCTGGCCCTGACAACTTCATCGTGCCCTCCTTGCAGCTGGGCAGCTGGAGGGTCGGCTGCAGTATTATCCCCCCCCCCCAATCATCTGCTATCCTGTAATAAACCAGGACAAGGGAGGGGGGGCCATCGGCCTGGGCATACTGTGTGTGTGTGAGGGGGGCGGGGGTGAGCTACTACCCACCTCCTCCTCCCACCCAGGCAAAGAAATCCAGGTCAGGAGCTGCGGGCAGACAAAGCGGTTGCCACAGCGATGCCCCATCTCTTTCAGGAAGACGGGAAGTGGGGTCACTGCAGCCGGCAAAGAGTTAGGATGCCAGGAGTCGGCCTCTTTCCCCGTCCCTTGGCCCATTTGCTGCCTGGCCGATGTGAAGAAGGCACGAGAGCTTTGGTCCCAAAATGGTTGGGGGTGCATGGGGGACTGCGGGTGGGGTGGGAAGGGCTGCGCGATTGGTTTTTGTCCACGGGGGGAAGGAAAATGCATTACGCAAGAATAGATTTTGAGCGGGGAGGAGATCTCCGGGGCTCTGCCTCCGGGGAAGTGCCGGACCGATCTTGCTGCTGTATTCCGAGTTAACGTCTTTACGATTAAAGATATGCCGCGGCTCGAGAAGGAGCCTTGCCTTCAACATCTCTGCGCGAGTCCCGCTTCTACCAGCCGGGCTGCTCTCCTCCTTTTCCGGGAGAGAACGGCCTTTCGGCTGCCCCGTTCCCCTGTTTATCCAGGCCTAAGGAGGAAGAAGGCTGGGGAACCTGCCCAAGGGCAGCTGCGCCTTCCTGAATCTCTTAGGGGTATGGGAGCCAGCGAAAGAGGGAGAGGAGGACATGGTACCAGGGCCAAGCATGGATGATACGGTTGGAACAAGGGAAAAAAAGAAGGGCTGCATGAATTGTGGGATGGTTGTCTCTATGTCACCGCAGTGAGTAGCCTCAGGATCCCAAATGTTGAATGGCTAAGGGGCGGAAGGAGGAAGCTGGCCTGGGATATCCCTTTGCACCTCTGGTATTGCCCCACTGTGGCAAAGGGGTCATTCATTGCACTACAAGGCCTGTGTTTGAGTAAGCCTGCTCCCCTCTAAAGAAAAACCCCTCTGCCAAGGGGGCAACGGGCTCTTAGTCTGCAGGCAGCTTCCTCACTCCCCACTCTTCCTCTCTGGCGGGCAACCTGCAGGACCAGAGGCCCCCTTTCCACATACACACCCCCAAGTCCCTTCTCAGGGATTCCCTGGTGAGCTTCTTCCGTCCCAGCGCTGGTTTTGCCCCAAAGAGAAGTTGGCTGCTCCCTTTGCTTGGATTCTGCCTGTGAGGTGGGGGGGAAGCAAAGCACATTCGCTGGGAAAAGCGATAATGGTCGAAAATGTTAGAAATGTTTTCTCTTAGCCGGCATTTTCTGAGGTTGCCCATTGTTCCAAGGTCTTGCTGGCTTTCCACGTTGCAGTTTGGATAATAAAAAAAAAAACCCAAATGAATATATGAAAAAAATTATGTATGTATGTATGTATGTATATATGGATCTTTGGTTATTCGGGTTTTCTCCCGTGTAAAATTGGAAGTATCTAGGCGACGTTTCGATGAAGTCTCATTCATCATCTTCAGGCTTGTGTCTTCGGCTCCGAGAAGCACAAAGCCAAAGACACAAGCCTGAAGATGATGAATGAGACTTCATCGAAACGTCACGTAGATACTTCCAATTTTACGCGGGAGAAAACCCGAATAACCAAAGATCCACACACAAATACCCGCAAAAACCTCAAAAAATACATACATACATACATATACATACATACGTACACACACACACACACGCACACACATATTCATTTGGGTTTTTTATACACACACAGAGACTCGCTCATATAAATATATAGATACATATATATAGATATATAGATATAAAAGTGAGACAAAACTATTTCGTTTGAATAAACATGAACTATAACTTGAATGGGCTATGTTTGCACTTTTTTTGGTGGGGGGGGAGGCAGGGAAAAGCCTTGGCTTGTTCTGTGGCGGCTCCAAAGAGTTCTGCGGGGTTGGATAGAATTTAGGGGTCTCCAACCTTGGCAACTTTAAGCCTGGCAGACTTCAACTCCCAGAATTCCCCAGTCGCTTTGCTGGTTTGTATGCTGGTTGTAAGGGAATTCTGGGAGTTGAAGTCCGCCAGGCTTAAAGTTGCCAAGGTTGGGGATCCGTGGGATAGATGACCTTCGGATCCCTTCTGGACCCACAATTCTGCACTGTTTCCTTCGGGGGGGGGGCGTTCTTGGGAGAAGGACTACAACTCCCATCGACTCATACAACAGTGTCCAGCCACAGTCCTGTACACTTGGGGGTGGGGTTGGGGGGGGAGCAGCCTCCCCAAATAAATTGCCGAGCCGGAGCGCCACCTCGCAGCAAAGGCGGCAAAAGGGAGGCAGCCGCGAAAGGCATTCCTTGCGCCTCCGGCAGCGGAGAAATCTGCATATGTTCAGAGGCACAGTTGCTCTGGACACCGCTACCGGCGAGGGGCGCCTGGTGCGCATGCTCAAAGGTCCGGCCTTTATCCCGCCCTTTTCCCTCCCGCGGCACTTAAGATTGGCCGCCGCCTCAGGCTCGTCGTGGCGCCTCATTGGGTGAACAGCCACGACTGCCGTGCCTTGATTGGTGCATCGGCAAATGCGCGCGCAGGAGCTTTTCAAGCTGGGCGGGGGTGGGTGGGTGTCGTGAATCGCGGAGATGGCGGACGGAGATCTAGGCGGCGTCCCCGACGCGCTGATCGACCCGGACGGCGTCTTCAAGTACGTCTTGATCCACGTGGAGCCCGCGGGGCCGGGGCCGGGCAAGGACATCGTCCGCGGCCACGCTTGGGCCGAATACCACGGTAGGTGAGGCTGGCGGGCGGGGCCTCTCGCTGCCGGGGGAAGTGTGGGGAGGGGGAGGCGACAGCGGCTGCGATTGGGAGAGGCCTCGGGGAGGGCGGGCTCTGGGGCGGGGCTCCGTTGCCTGGCAACCGCCCTCCGTTGCCTGGCAACCGCCCTCCTCCGCTTGCTTCCCCCCCTCTCCGCAGCCGACCTCTTCGAGCAAGCGGCCCAGGAGCTGGAGAAGCGGGGCTTCCGATGCCGGTGCCTGGGCGGCGGCCGCATCTCCCACCGGAGCGCCGCCAAGAAGATCCACGTCTACGGCTACTCCGTGGTAAGGAGCCATCCTCTCCCGGCCTGTCAGGGCGGCCCAGAGTTTGGGAGGGGGGCACCCCGAGGCCATCCAGCAAGTCTCCTGCGGAATATGACTAAAAGAAGGGATTTATATTATAGCATAAATCCCTTTTTTTATAACTATTAGGTGATGGAATATATTACAACTATTAGGTGATGGAATATATTATAACTATTAGGCGATGGAATATATTATAACTATTAGGTGATGGAATATATTATAACTAATAGGCGATGGAATATATTATAACTATTAGGTGATGGAATATATTATAATTGTTTAATGGGATAATTTAGAATATTTAATGGGACGTGAAAGGGAATCCACTATATAAGATATGAAGGTGACAGGCTGGAATTGGCAACTCTTGGGGAAACCTTGTTTTGTAACATTTGAAAGGTGGGTACAGATTGAAACTGTACACAGGACAGATAAAAGTGTTTTGAAAATAGGAAAACCTTGAAAAGAAGATGCAATAGATTTAGAAATGAATGAGTTATAAAATAAGCCCGAGGGAGGTATTTGAGAGGAAAAATGAATACAGAATATCTAGTGATAAGATATGAAACTGAAGATGAAAGATGAATAGGTAACTGCGATTATATCTGCGTGGAGATTTGAAAACCTGGAACCAAGCTGTTCACTAAAAAAAAGATGTTTTATTTTTCTGTGTTTTGCGAAAACCGAAATAAAATTGTTTATTAAAAAAAAATAAAGACAACAGCCGTCTTTGCCCATTAGCAGCAGGGACTTAACGCCCACCTGAAGATTATAAAGGCAATTGATGCAGAATTATTTTTCTTCCAGGAAGGATCCCTTGGGGGTGGGGGTAATGAAGGGGAGGGGGACACAGCCTGGATAGGGAAGGTCCGGTGGCCACCTAAGTTTCCTCCATTGACCTGCCTGGCATGGGGGGAAGCCGCCTTACTATGGAGGAGGGTGTAAAAAGGATTCAGACTCGTCCTGGTAGGGCAGAGCTGGGCTATTTCAACTGTGCCTCAGGCTTCATGTGTGTGAGTAGTAACGTGGCTTTGCTTTTTGCAGGGTTTTGGCCGAGCAAAACATGCCGTTGCCACAGAGAAGCTGAAGGCCAGGTACCCCGATTATGAAGTCACCTGGGCCGATGAAGGATACTGACCTTCTGACCTCACCTTTGCGACCGCACAGCAGCAAGCGGGCACTGACGTGGAAGCCAGGTGTGGAAATCCTGCCGGCCTCCGGAGCTGTGCGCTGGGCTGCCCTGTGACCAAACCCGGCGTGTCTGTGCATTGGTAGAAGGAAAATAAATGATTGCGCTCGATGCTTAAGGTGTCATGTTCCCTCACGCCTCTTCCTGGATCCATTCGCTTCCTGTGATGTCTAGAGAAACGACGGTGAAGGGAGGAAGATAGTTTTTTATGTTTGCGTATGGACTGGAAAAACCACAGAGGAAGCCGCTGAAATAATAAGCATGGACATCTGCACCGTTTAGAATGCAAACGCGCAAAGATTGTCCTCATCTGCTTGCCACAAGGGCTCCGTTTCGTGCGTATACAAAGCAGCAATGTTCCCATGGCTGCTTGCACTTTGAAGTTGCTTTGTTTTCTTGATAACTGTAGCCAGTCAGTGTCTTTTTTTCCTGGAAATCTCAGTAGTTGTAACGTTTTCGTGTAACGTGGAAAGCTGTAGGAAGCTGCTTAGAAAGGAGAATAAAGCGGCCCTGTTCTGGGCCCGATCCAAACCGCATACTGAGGTGGCCTTTTTCCTCTTTCTCTCTCTGCTCCGGTCCAGCATGGAAACCTTGATATTTCTTGGACGGTTCGGGTCGGTGGTAAAGCAATGCTCGGGCTTGTCCCGCTAATGACCTGCGGACCAGTTTTCTAGACAGCGTGCGCGTCTGCCGAGACCTTTCCTGGAGATTATGACTTGATTGCACGAAGTCCAAGGGCACCTTCGTGGAAATGAGGTTGGATTTCTTGGCCTGTGAGAGCAACAAGTTCTTGCGAAACCTCACTTTCTTGGAAACGAGGACGTTTTTACAATCTCTTGCAGTCTGACTCTCGGAGGGGTGTGTGTGTGTGTGTGTGTGTGTGTGTTTAAATAAAAGAGTGCACAACTTGTGACCCATCTGAACCGGAGACAGATATTCACATTCCTACTGGATGGCAAGGTGACTAGAACCCTTTGTTCTTTTCCCATCCGAACAGCTGCTTTGGTGTCCATAGCAGCGCTCTCTCTCTCTCTCTCTCTCTCTCTCTCTCTCTCTCTCTCTCTCTCTATGGCATACAATAAAAACAAACAAACCACCTGCCAGGCAGCCTTGCAAGAGAGTTTAGAAATGCCGAGGGTCAGCAAGAGGCTGGGGGAGCACTGTGGGCCGAGGAAGAGCAAGGGGTCTCACGGATGACACGCCCTGCAGGGTTGCCCAGTGAATTCCAGCCAGGAATTCACCAGTGATAAGCGTTTCCTCTCATTCCTGGGGTGGGCAGCAACCAAGCCAGAGCTGAAGTTAGTTCAGGAAGGGCCCAATGTTGGATGCCACCTCCTCTGCCTTATTAAAACAAGAGGCTGGTAGAAGCAGTCGGCGGTCGAAAGAAAGCCTTGGACCCTAAGAAGGAAAGGAAGCTGAGACTTGCGGGGCGCGGCAGACGGGCACAAGGGCCTAGATTTGCTTGCTAGATTGGCACGCAGCTGCCCTTCTCTGCTTTTTTTAATTGCTCCGAGGACGTGTGGGACCCTCTCCGGGCTGAAGATGGGTTGGGAGCATCCTGCTGGTGTCCCCCTCCCTGTGGCCAGTCCCCACCCTGCGCCTGGGGCTGTGCTTCCTTCCCTCCTGCTCGGCCCCCGCCGCATATCTCGCAGGGCAAGGTGATCGGGGAGGTTGAAGTCCAGGCACATCGTGGCTGGAGCAGCCTTTCCTCCTCGTTCTTCCCCAACCGAGCAGGCTTGATCCGGCTGCTGGGCAGGCCCAGGATGCCGGGATCCCGGGGGCTGCGGTCCTTCCTGCTCCTGCAGGTGCTGATGGGTGAGTTTTTCACGAGGAGGAAGCCGCCCCCTTTGCTTAGGGCTGAATGGAAAAATCCTGAATCCAGAGAGGGAAACAGCTGAGCTTTGATTCGGGGAACCGAAGGAGCCAGCCAGGCTGAACACCTGCTCCTCCCGGGGCCATTTTGTGTCTGCTGGGAAGTTCAAAGGCTTCCCTGCGTTTTTGGAATGCGCCCTTTGGGCTGTGCTGGTGTTTGTTTAAGGTGCAAGAAAAGTGGTTACGTGCAGATCGTGAACCTTCTCTCGGCTTCTCCGTTTTCCTCTATAAAACTCTGTCCGTCGACACCTTTATAGGTTCCAGGAGGGACTCCAATCCCGAGACCTGATTTACACTTAATATTCAGCTCTCTATTTTCTGTATTTGGGTCCGAGCGGTGCAAATTCCCTCAATGGGATCGTTGGCCCCCCCGTCCTTTTGCCACCGCACGTATCAATGTATTGCCTTGGCCAGCCCGGTTCGTGTCCCGCTCTCGGAGAAGGGTTGGGCTCCCTCTTGGCTGAGCTTCCTTGGCGGCGGCTCTCTGGCTGGGTTGAGCCATGGAGAACGGCCAGAGGAGGAGCGGTTGGGCCAGTCAATGGCCTCTGGGAGCCCACCCATTGGGGGTTTCTTTTCTTGGTCGTCTAGCCGGGCCTCCGTTTGGTGTCCAGGCTGTCTTTGTCAACCGATGCGGGACTCCAAGGGTGTGTGATTTTGTGTGTGACTGCTGGGATTGTTCGGACGAAAACCAGTGTGGTGAGTTCGACCTCCTTTCTGGTTCCTCCGGGATGAATTTCAGGCAAAATGGCAGCAAAAAACCAAAAAGATGGAAGTAACGACACTTGCCTGTCAAAAGCAGAAAGGTTCCCCCACAATTCTTCTCCGCCCCTCCTAGTAGATACCCAACTGCCTTGGAGTGGATCCCGAGGCCAAAAGGCCCGTGAAGAGGATCAGATCCAGGCAAATTCCTGCCTAGGAAATCCTGCCCTTGAATTGCTGGACCCCGAAGTCACTGTTCAGACCCCGAGTCCTCTCCCCCTACCCACCCACCCCCCAGCAGCCCCCTTTGCAGTCCCAGGGCCCTTCCAGGCTAGCCCGCGGTGGGTGGGAGACGCCCCTTTGAGATGGGGTGGACTGCTGGCTCTTCCGCTCCCCCCTCCAGGCTATCAGCAGGCGTCGGCTCTGGGGGGCCCCTTCACCTGCAGCTTCGAAGGCACCACGTGTGGCTGGGAGGACGTCAGCGACACAGCCTACCGGTGGGAGCCAGCCCAGGCCAGCATTGCTATGTGGGGGCTGGAGCCTCCTTTCGACCACACGCTGGGCACAGATGTCGGTAGGGGTGTGTGTGTGTGGTGGCGGCACAGGAGGGGAAATCCTTGGTGAGGCTCTCCCAGGGAGGCGCCTCCCATTTCTCACCCCAAGAGGAGGCCTGATTTGGGGGGGGGGGGGCTGTGTTGAGTGCCGCTCTTCCCACTTCCTCTGAATGGCTCTCTCGCCCTCCGTTGCAGGCTGGTACATGGCAGCTACAAAGCAGGGCGCAAAGCCCTGGGCCACGGCCCGGCTGCGGTCACCCGTGTTGCGAGGAGCAGCTGCCGCCTGTGAGATCCACGCTTGGTATCTCCTGTGGGGGCCAGGTAGGCTGAGGGAGAAGCGGCAGTGGGGTGGGCCTTGCGTGATTCTCTCCTGTACCCCGTAGGCCCCTAGATTGAGATGAAGCCGCATCCTCCTCCTCTTCCTCCTTCTCTTCCTCTTCTCCTTCTCCTCTTCCTCTTCTCCTTCTCTTCATCCTTCTTCTTCCTCCTCTCCTCCTCCTCCTCTTTGTTCTCTTCTCCTCCTCCTCTTCGTCCTTCTCCTCTTCCTCCTCTTCTCCTCCTCTTTGTCCTTCTCTTCTCCTCCTCCTCTTCCTCCTCCTCTTCATCCTTCTCTTCTTCCTCTTCCTCCTCTCCTCCTCCTCCTTCTCCTCTTTGTCCTTCTCCTCTTCCTGCTTCTCTTCCTCTTCTCCTCCTTCTCTCCTCTTCCTCTTTCTTCTCTTCTCCTTCTCTTCGTCCTTCTCTTCTTCCTCCTCTTCTCTTCACCCTTCTCCTCTTCCTCCTCCTCTTCGTTCTCTTCTCCTCCTTCTCTTTGTCCTTCTCTTCTTCTCTTCCTCTTCCTCCTCTTCTCCTTCTCCTCCTCTTTGTCCTCCTCTTCTCCTCTTCCTCCTTCTCTTCCTTCTCCTCCTCGTCCTCCTGCTGGTTGGAGGAGCTCTGCCATCTGATGCTCTTTCAAACACAGGCCTTAACGAGACTCAGCAGCCTCGGCTCACCTTGGAGCTGAGCCAGGGAAGTCGCACCGCCTCCCTGTGGCAAAGCCCTCCAGGCAGCACCTCCTCCTGGCAAGAGCTGGTGGCCTACACCGGCCACATCCCAGGCAGCTTCCAGGTACCTGGCACCCAAGCCCAGCCCTGCCTCACACCCGGTGGGATCTCCCCAGCCTCACCTGTAACCTTTTCCTCCTGCCAGGTCACCTTCGTCTCCACCCAGGACTTCTCCCTAGCACAGCTGGCGCTGGACGATGTGGAATTCAGGAACTGTGGCTTCCCACGTAAAGCGGGGCGGGGTGGGGTGTTGTTTTTCCCTGTATTTATTTTCTCTGCAACCTGCATTTTCTGTAAAGGCCCCGAAGGATGCTGCCTTTCTGACCTGCAAGCCACTCCTTTGGCCACGCAGGCTGGGGATGATGGGGCTTGTGTTGCAGCCCATCCAGCGGTAGGAGAGACACGCAGGCCATGGACGGCTGCAGGTGGTCCCCAAGAGGGAGCTCGCAGGGTGAACACAGGCTAAAGGGAAGGGACCCCCTTGCTGGAAGCCCCCGCAGTGGGGCTCGGCCGCTTCCTTTGCGCTCTCTGCCTGGCTCACGCAGCTCCTTTCCCCGTCCCTCCTCCTAGCTCCCCAGACGTGCGGCTCAGAGGCATTCCACTGCCAACAGGGCGGCTGCGTTGCCACAGACCGGGTGTGTGACGGCACCGCAGATTGCCGGGCTGCTGAGGATGAAGCCCAGGCTGAATGTGGTGAGCCAGGGGAGGGGTGGAGGGTGGGGGCAAGTTCTGGTTCCCCGGGACGCCGGGAAGGAGCTTCGCCCTCCAGCGCTAAGGGAACCGGAGGGAACCGAACCCCACGGTCCTCTCACTGCTCCCCTCGCTGTTCTCGCCTGGGGATCCCGCCGGAGGTGATCTTGTAGATTGTCTGCGATGGGCCATCAGGGGTTTGTGGCTTCCTCTTCGGGGCAACCTGCAGGCCTCTTTCCTTTGTCGTCCACTCTGATCATCCACATCGTGCCTTCCCTGCCGTTTCTAAACCGAGTAGCTCGCAGGCCTGTCGGGGGAGAGGCCACCTGGGGTGCCCCTGCTCTGGAAGAGCCTTGGGTTCCAGAGAGCTCGGTGTGTGTGTGTGTGTGTGAGAGAGAGAGAGAGAGAGAGAGAGAGAAAGAGAAAGAGAGAGAGAAAAAAAAGAGACCTTCCTTCTTCTCTTAGCCCCTTGACCTTGATCTACGCCAAGCTGAGACAGGGGATTTTTCCTCAGGCTGTCCTGTAGTTAGCGTGGTCCATGGTCTGAGAAGCTCCTGGGCCAGTGTGTGTGTGTGTCTCTCTCTCTCCCTCGCCCCCACAGCCGCCTTCAGAGCGTGTTCCTTTGAGGAAGACTGGTGCCAGTGGACGATGGTCCCCAGCACAACTCTTGCCTGGCTAAGGAACTCAAGCCTCCACCAGGCCTCCTCTTCCGTCGGGCCCTCACGGGATCACAGCACCAACAGCCGGGAAGGTGAGGTTAGGCAGGCAGCAACTCAGGTTTGGCCTGAGAAGGCAGCCTCGGTTCAGAATGGCTTCGTCCGCAGGAGGCACCTCTGGACCTTTGAGGGTCTCTGCTGCTGTTCTTAAAACCCAGTTTATTCCAGGAGAAACAATCTCCGCTCCCTTTTCCTGGCTGCTTTCTGCCTCTGGGCTGCCCTGAGAGCAGCCTGCCTGCCAGCAGCTGCCGTGGCTCTGGCGGTCCGTGGGAGGGGGATCTCGAAAGGCCCTGGCCCTCTCTTGCTGGCTCCTGTGCTTGGAGCCCTTTTGGCTCCGTGTCCCGGTCCAGGGAGAATATTCCACCCTGGATTTGGCTGCCCTCCTGGAGGTGAAAATCCGCAGCCTCCTCCGGGCAGAGTTAAGGTTCCCAAGGCTTGGAGTCAGGCACGGCCTGCAAGAGGAGATGTCCAGCTGACGCCCCTGCCTTGCTCGCTCCCTCCACCGCAGGCGTCTTCGCGTATGTCGAGACCCAGAAGCTGGACCTGCACGAGAGAAGAGCCTGGCTGAGCAGCCCAACGTTGGACGCCAACCATTCCTGCTATGTGAGTGGCCTGAGAGTCCCCTCAGGCCACGGCTGGACCGGCTGGCCTCATTGCTCTTAACGGAGGGTCTTGGAGGCTTCCCTCCTGCTTGTGGTCAGTGGCTTTGGCTGGTTGTCTTTCCAGCTGGTTCTCTACCTCTACCTGCACGGCTCCAACAGCAACAGCCTGAACATCTACAGCCAAACGGCACAAGATTTGCAGCTCGTCTGGAGCCGCACAGGAGACCTGGGCAACTTCTGGTTCCGGGAGAAAGTGGATTTCGTGGGCACAAAGAAATTCAAGGTAGTGGACGAAGCCCCGGGGGCCCTGGGGACAGGTGCCCGAACCTCCCAGGTGGAGCAGGCTGACCTGGGCAGCAGGAGGCTGCCGGTGGCCCCGGGCTAGGGGTCTCTGTCCCTGGCCCTGTATGGCATGAACCTCAGTGGCTCAGTGGTGAGAGTGCAGTACTGCAGGCTGCTTCTGCTGCCTGCCGGCTGCCTGCAATTTGGCTGTTCAAATCCCACCACGCTCAAGGTTGACTCAGCCTCCCATCCTTCTGAGGTGGGTCAAATGAGGACCCCGGTTGTTGGAGGAAAGAGGCTGGCTCTGTAAACCGCTTAGAGAGGGCTGGGAAGCACTGTGAAGCGGTGTATAAATCTAAGAGGGTTTGCTATCTACCTACCTATCTATCTGCCGTGGTGGCACAGCGGTGAGACTGACTCTGCCAACTGCCAGGAGTTCGATCCTGACGGGCTCCGGGTTGACTCCGCCTTCCGTCCTTCCGAAGTGGGTCAAACGAGGACCCCGATTGTTGTTGGCGGGGGACGCAAGAGGCTGACTCCGTAAAGCGCTTAGAGAGGGCTGGAAAGCACTGCGAAGCGTTGTACAAGTCTTAAGAGCTACTGGTATCGTCCTGCGCTGATCAGCTGGATTTTTCTGCCAGATTGTGATCGAGGGCAGGATTGGAGGCGGGCAGGAAGGGAGCATCGCTCTAGACGACCTTCGTCTGTCTCCTGACTGCAGGACGGTGGAGGACTGTGAGTAGGAGCAGCAGGGCGGGCGGCCGAGCCACGGCGGTGGGAGCCCTCTCCTCTGCTTCTAGGGCAGCTAGCTCCCGCACACACCCCTCTTGTTGGAAGGCCCAGGAGTAGCCAAGTCCTCCTACTTTGCCTGAGCCACCCTCGGAAGCCCTGTGGCCCCGCTGAGGCCTCGGCATTCGGTCCTTTTCAGCCCAGGTCCCGATTCCTCCCATGCTGGAGCCCCTCGGCCCTTGCCCCTCGGGGCAGTTTGCTTGTGACCAGGGCAAGCGATGCCTCGACCGCGAGCTGCTCTGCAACTTCAAGGCCGAGTGTGACGACGCCTCTGATGAGCAGCGGTGTGGTAAGGAGCCGCGGGGGAACGGGATTCACTTTCTGCCTGGCTGGGTTTTGGCCAAAGCCCCGGCTTGCCGTGCAGGGGTTCTTCGAAGCATCAAGCCCAGGAACGGGGCAGAAAATGGGGGTCCCCGACCCTCCTCCCCACCCCACCAGCTCCTCAATGTTGCTCCGAGCCGCGTGGCCTGTCTGCCCCCTTGAGATGCAGATCTCCATGCCTCTCCCTCCAGGAGGGACCGATTTTTCCCAGGACTCCGGGGGATGGATGGACGTGAGCGTGGGCCGCCTGCGATGGACCACCAGCCGGCTCAGTCCTCTGGGTAAGAGGGTGGCTGGGACATGGCCCTGCCAGGTGAGAAGGGGGGCTGGGGCCATGCCAGGAGGAAGAAGAGGAGGGGGTGGTTGTAGCTGTCTTTTGGTCGACCTGGGACGCCCCCCCTGTTCCGTTCCTCCTCAGGGCCAGTTTTCAGTCTGCAGAAGGCCCCAGGGCAGATGTTCTCCATGGTGAGGGCTGCTACTCCCGTGTTGGGCCCTTCGGGCGTAGGCTGTGTGCTGCAGATGGACGTTGCCACCGGCCCGGAAGGTACGGGCGCTGCCTTTGTCCCTTTGGCCCAGCTGGGTGCTGCCTGGCACTGAAAAACCACAGCCTGCTTCTCTGCTCCGTCCTGCAGGCTTCCTCGCCCTCGCCGTTGCCGACGGGAGCCTGGGCACCCGCAGGTGGGCTTGGTTTGCCCAGAGCAGTGAGACCTGGAGAAAGGCCACGGTGCCTCTGGGCGCAAGGAAAAGGCCCTTCCAGGTGAGGGGGGGGCTGCCTCCCGTCCCTTCAGGGTGAGGCCTGGCCTAGAGGCCGAGGGGAGGCTGCCGCTTGGGGTGCAGCAGCGCGGAGAAGGAAGAAGCAGCCGAGAGCTCCGGGCGAAGCCCTTGCCCTGTTTCTTGCTCTTCCTCAGCTTGAGCTGCTGGCCAGGGCAGATCTCGATGACCTCCGGGGGGCCCTGCCTCTTGCCATCACCAACGTCTCCTTTGTGAACTGCAGCCCCGAAGGAGGCTCAGCTTCAGGTACTTTGGTTCACCGAGAAGGAGCCTTGCGCTGCAGGCTTGGAGGAAAACGGCAGGGAGGGAGGGGCTGGCGCGCACCCTTTGCCTCCTCGGTTGTCTGTGGCTGACCTGGCAAAGGTCCCCCAAACAATCCCCTTGCTGCTGCTGTGGCTTCTCCCCCCAGCCCCCCAGGCAGGGCTGTCCTGCAATTTTGAGACCGACTGGTGCAGCTGGTACCTGGAGCAGAACGAGGGCTTTGAATGGAGGCAAAGCCAAAGCCGGAAAGGAGCCGTGGACCACACCACCGGCACAGGTAGTCTGGCTGGCAGGCGGGTGGGGGGCTTCTGGGCAGCTGACTTTGAAGCCCCTGGGGTGGTGGGTGGGCGGGGGGGCTCAGAGGTCCATCCAGAAAGCCTCGCCGGACTCCGCTCGTGCCGGGAACAGGGGAAGGACGTTTGGGTTGTCTCTGACCCTAAATGAGGTTCTGGCTCCAGAAACCAGAAACCCTTTTAGGAAGAAATGTGTGAGGCAAATAGACTCCCCACGCAGCCTCTCTCTTCAACAAAGTCATGGGATGACATAAACGGTGAACGTGAAAAGGTCAGAAACGGAACAGGAGCGAACGGGGAGGCCGCCACGGCTCCAGAGGGCAACCACGGAGCCCCCGGCCAGCATTTTGCAGTTCCCCTCTCTGCTTCCACAGGCTCTTTCCTGCTCGCAGAGCCTGGTGGAGCCTGGAATCCAGGCTGGCGCACGCGCCTCCTTTCTGCTCCCCAGGCTGTTACCGCGGCTGTCCCGACCGTTTGCCTTTCCTTCTGGTATCGCCTGGAGGGCCCCCAGATTGGTAAGCCTTCCGACTCCCCTGCAGGAGCCTCCCCCACACCCCTGGGGGGAGGGGGCAGTCAGGCTGTTCTAGCCCCACATGAGAGAAGGGTGGGTGGCCATAGCGGCCCCTCCTCTCCCATCTTAGCGGCCTCCGAGGCTCCGTCTTGTGCCGAAGGCTCATAGCTGACCGAGGGCTCTTGACCTGGCCGCCTTTCTGAGCGGCGTTGCAGTTTTGTCTTAAATCCTCCCGCCATCTTCCGTCCCCCAGGGGGGGAGGGATCTCTGACCCTCCAGGCAGCATCCCGCATGTACTCTCCAGCCTGGCAGAACAGCTGTGTTGGGTTGGCCCTCTTCTGGACATTTACACGCACAACACAAGGTGGATTTTGGCTTTGCAGGGACCCTGGCCCTGAAATTGAAGGAGGCTGGAGAACCGGAGCAGGTGCTCTGGACCAGGCGAGGGAGCCAGGGGGCCGTTTGGCATCGAGGCTCCTCCTCCATTTCCCCCAAGCCTGGTCAGAATTACCAGGTAAAGAGACGCCGCACCTTCCTTTTGCATTGAAGGAAACGCAGAGCAAGAGGGGGCCGATCTCAGGAACATCTCGAAAGCTGCACCTTGGAGGTGCTCACACCGCCGTATCCCTTTAGGATGGGGCCGGGGCAGGATAGGGCAGCTCCGGCTTTGGATTGGTGCTGGGGAGCGTCCAGGGTATCTTCTGTGTCTTCCTTGCAGCTTCAAAATAAACAGCCCCCTTTCCGTACCGAGGAAGAAGGAAGCAGAGTGGAATTTGGACTGGTTAGGCCAGCCAGGATAGGTTGCTTCCCTGGATTAGATCGATTTCTCTTCCTCCTCTTTCCAGATTCCTCTGGGCCTCGTTTTTTACTTTTCTGGCCCCCTGCGGGCTAGAAACTTGGGTCTGCACAAGGGAGTCAATACTTCTCGCTCTCTGAAGTGGCTTTGGCAACCTGTCCTGCAGGTGATCTTCGAGGCGCTTCGGGACGGCTTCCTGGGGATCATAGCTTTGGATGACCTGACAGTGACGCCCGGGGCCTGCCCGGCCCAGAGGCATTGTTCCTTCGAGGCTGGCAAATGCGGCTTCTCGGCCCCCGAGCAGCCGGCGTGGCAGCGGCAGAACGGTGCCGGGGGCGTGGGCCCTCCAGTGGATCACACCCTGGGCGAGCCAAGAGGTAAGAGGCAGCAGCCTGTTGTGTCCCTGGGGTGTCCCTGGGGAGGCCTGAGAAACGCTTTTGGGCCCCTGCAGGTGTGGGGCCAAATTATAGCCTGGCAGCTCAGGAAGGCAGGTAGAGGAGTCGTGCGTTACTCATAGCAGGTACCATCCTTGGAGGTTTTATTTTGACAATCTACTGTTCTCTCCCCTCTCCCAAGGGCATTATATGATCCTCCATACTGGTGCAGACAAACTCCCTTTGGGGTGGACGGCCGTCCTGCGCTCGGGCAGCTTCCCTCCTCTGCGGCGCACCCACTGTGTCTCCTTTTGGTACCACCTAAACAGCAGTGAGCCAGGTGAGCAGGCCCGGTAGGGCGCGAGGGCTACCAGAGTCCGATTCCCGGTGCCAAGAGGTCTGAAGACCTCAGCGCGCTTCCTGCCAACAAGGGACTCTGGCATTTGCCCTCGCCCCAAGACACAGCGGAGGGGGCAGAGGCAGCCTTGGGGCTCTGGCCTCTCCTCCTCTCTCGGTTGCTCTCCCTAGGATCCTTGACCGCTTACGTGGAGGAGGGGGAAGAGGGAGCGGGAGAGGCAGCAATGCTCAGCCTGGATCCCACAGAGGGAGAAGCCTGGCGGTATGGCAGCTTTGTGGCAAAGGTCCATGGGAAATGGCAGGTGGGCACGGTGGCCGTTTTGAACCCGAGCTGCATGCGTGGCTTGCCCGGAATCCGTCTGAGCTGGCCACGAGCCTCTTCCGCCATCTGTGTCTTCCGTGAGCAGGTGGCTTTCGCGGCGACAGGCGCTGGCGGAGAGCCGTCCTCTTACGTTGCCCTCGACGACGTCCTGGTGAAGGAAGGCGGCTGCCCTGAACCAGGTGAGGGCAGCTGGAGTCTTCCCTCTTTTAGAAAAAGAATGAGGGACCGTCATGGGCACGGTGGAGGGGAGAGACCCACACCGAGCCAGAGAGCGTGGCCTCCTTTCTACTTGGGAAAAAATGGTTGGGGTAACCGTGTGTTGGGGGTCCTTTGGGCCCAGCCTCTTGTGACTTTGAGTCAGGCCCCTGTGGCTGGAGCAAGCCTCACGGAGACTGGTACAGCTGGGACTGGAAGGAAGCGGCCACCACCTTGCGCTCCCCATCCCCCAAGGAAGACCACACCCTCGGCACCAATGCAGGTAAGCGCTCGGTCCCCGGGGATTGCACGAGAGCAGCTCGGGCTGCCAGGAGGCGGCTTCCCCCCCCCCGGATTTGGCCCAAACGTTCGCTGGACCAGCAAATTGGGGCTGTGAGGAGGAGGAGGAGGAGGAGTTGGCGGCTCCAGTTGGATGGGAATTGATGAGGCTCGCCTCCCGTCTTGGGCTCCGATAGTCCTCCTTCATTCGGGGAGTTTATTGAATCATCCCGATACACAAGGAAACCGACATCCTGGACTTGGTCTGTTTCGTGGCTTAAATTCCCCTACCCGTTCTCTTGGGATCAACTCTGCAGGAGGAGGCCCGGTCCCTATTTCCTTCCAGCGTTTTTTTTCTTGTCTTCGTTAGGTCACTACGCCTACGTTGACCTGGCGGTGCTGAGCTTGGGAAAGAGCACCGCGCGCCTGGTGAGCGAGCCCCTGGCACCCACCACGGGCTCCTGCCTGCAGTTCCACTACCACATGGACTTCCTCGGCCAAAGCAGCTGTAAGTCAGGCAAGGAGATTCCCCTCCCCATATCCCCCAATCCAGAGATGTGGCAATCTGCTGCAGAAGTGGCATTGTTAAAGCTTCTCTGGCAGGTTTCTGCTTGGAGGAGAGAAGCCACAGAGACCTTCGAGAAGAGATTGGACTGCCATTTGTCAGAAATGGTGTAGGGTCTCCCACTTGGGTGGAGGGTTGGATTAGATGACCTATAAGGTCCCTTCCAACTAGGAATATCTGTTAAATTTGATGGTGGGGCAGGGAGGAGCCTGGCTCTCTGAGGTCCGTGCTGACCTCCCTCCCCTCCTCTCTGCATTGCCAGCTCCTGCAGAGCTCAGAGTGAGGCTGACTGGGGCGCAGGGGGAAAGGGTAATCTGGACCGCCACAGGCCATCAGAGTCGGGCTTGGACGAACCGAACGCTCCTGGTGACCAGCCCCGTGGACTTCCAGGTGTTCTGAATTCAGCCTCCCTCCCTGGCCCTGAAGGGAAAGGCAGCCGGCAACGCCGGGCCTTGGGACCCGGGCTTTGAGCCTGCCTGTCCTTGCCGCACCCCTCGCGCTGCCTCTTCCAGATGAAGAGCCTTCGCTGCCTCTTCTCTGCCTCGGTCTCCCATCCTGTCCTTCTGAGCGTAGCTCTCTCCCCTTCAGATCGTCCTGGAGGCCAGCAGCGGAGCCTGGGCGAGCTCAGGGGTGATTGCGCTGGACGATCTCCGCTACGCACCTGGGCCGGACTGTGCCTCTCCCCAGGCAGGCCAAGTGGAAGGTCAGGCCCAGCGCGGCACCCAAGGCCCATCCCTGTGCCCCGCCCCCCGCCCCTGAGCTGGTCAGAAGAGGCTCCCGCCATTCCTTTTTTGCCTTGGCAGAGAGCGGCAGCCTTCTCTCGGTGCTGACCATCGGCGTGGTGGCTGGCGTGGTGAACACGGCTTTGCTGCTGCTGATCGTGGTCGCCTGTTGCCTCTGGAAGAGGAGGGGGAGTCGGGAAAGGATGGTGGAAGAGGAGGAGGCCAACGGGCAGGGGTTTGACAACATCGCCTTTCGAGACGTAAGTGCTGGAGCTGGGGGGGGGGGCCCACGTTGCGTGGCCCTCTGCTGCCCAGCCAGGCTGCCTTTTAACTGGGACCGGCGGCTGGGCGAGAGCTTCCTTTTCACCCTCCAAGCAGACCGTCTCCGGGCAGCCCGAACGGCTTCCCCCCCCCGCAGTTTCTTGGCTAAGCCCGTGTCTCTTCCCTTGGCTTCCAGGACAGGGTCATCCTACCCCAGATGGCTCCTGACCCAGCAACGTCTTAGGTCAGCCCCGGCTTTCCCCGTTCAGCTTTGCATCGGCCTCTGTTCCACCGGGAGCGGCTCCAGTAAAGGGGGGGCATCTTCGGTTGAATCCGTCTCTTTTCTTGACCAGAGACAGGTTATCATTCACCCAGGTTGGAAGACCCCATTTACGGCGGCTCGAAAAGCATTTCAACGCAAGAGAATGAAAATAAACCTGCCCAAACTCACAAACACTGGCTTCATCTCTTGTGTGAACCTGTCCAAGGACTCGATGCGCGGATGGTCCTTGTTTTGGGGGGGCCACTTCCCCGAAAGCCTCGATCGGCACCCCCAAATGAGGTACTTGCCCCCCTCGAGACTCTTCTCTGCTGGAAGAAAGAGGCTGGTGGGCAAGTGACAGGAATGTACGTGTGTGTGTGAGCCCTTAGGGCAGCTCTCTTTACTGAAAAGAGGTCCGGACTGTTTCCCTCAAAACTGTCAGTGGGGAGAAAACATCTCCAAATGCAGCCCAGGCGCAGCTGGTTGGGAACCTGGATGAAAGCAGGCCCTGAAGCCACCATGGCTGCCCAGAGAGCATTCCACAATCATGGTCCCCGCCTTCCCACTGAAACCAAGCCAGGGCAGCTGGCCTTCCTTCTTGCACCCCCCATCAGCCACACTCCCCCCAGGGGTAGGATTCACATTTTTTAACAACTGGTTCTTTGAGCGTGGCTTAGGTGGTGGGCGTGGCTTGGTGGTCATGTTATTGGCTGGGTATGGCTGCTCAATATCACTCACATCGAGGCACGCATCTCCTTGCCTGGCCTCATGATTGTGGGGATGCTGCAACAGTCGTAAGTGTGAAAAACGGTCATGAGTCACTTTTTTCAGTGCCATTGTAACTTTGAGTGGTCACTCCACACAAGCAAAGTACCAGCAAAGGAGGGGAAAAAACTCCAGAGAAGTTCCAGAGACAGGAAGTCTAGTCCTGCCAAGAATGTAATAAGGGTTAATGGAAAGGGAGTATCTGTAAGCAACCCCAGAATGTTTCCTTCCTGCCTTCCTTACAGGATTAGCCCAGTAATTTCTTCTAACAACTGGTTCTCCAAACTGCTTAGAATATTTACCAGTTCTAAGCGAATAGGTGCGAACTGGTAGAATCCCACCCCTGCACCCCCCCACTTCCCAAAGGCCCCAAAGACGATGACGACCATGTGTCTTTCTTGCCCCTGGCAGATTCAGATGCTTTTATTAGGATTTGGATACTTTGAAAAAGGAAGGCAGGAATGTCGGCGGTCGAGAGGTTCGCTGATTCCCGAGAGGGTTGTGATTGTGGAGGTGTGTCAGCCTGGCAGAGAGAGGGAGCCAACCCTGGCCATGCCAGAGGAGCAGCAGCGCCCATCCAGGCGAGATCAGTCGGGGCAGACTGATTTCGAGGCTTTGTCATCACTTCCCCTTGGGGGCCTTTTCGAGGGGTCGCCCGATGTCCCGCCCTCGGAGTTTAAGGCCTGGAAAAGAGCAAAAAGGAGCAGGAAGAGATTGGGGGCAGGTGTCTGTGAGGACCCCAGCCCCCCATGACCCCCCCAAGACAGCAGCAGCCTGGAGAGAGAGGGGGGGGGCAGATCTCGGTCGCAGCCTTATGGGATCCAAAGCTCCACCCGGCCTGGACTCACCGATGGCCCGCTCGATCTTGCCCAGCACCTGGTTGTTGGGGATGGCCTTCCCGGACTCGTAGTCTGCGATGACCTGGGGCTTCTCGTTGATTTTCTGCAGCGGGAGAGCCAGGCAGTTTGCACGGAGCGGAAGGGACGGTGGGGTGTGGGGGGGAAGGACTCGCTTCCCCCCAGGCCCGGCCTTTCAGCCTCTCCAAAGGCCCCTTACCGTGGCCAGGTCCTTCTGGGTCAGCCCCTTGTTCTGCCGGCCCTGCTGGATCACCTTGCCCACCTCCAGCGGGACCCGGTCGTGGTGCAGCTCCTCGGTCTCCCGGTCCAGCTTGGCCGTGTTCTTGGTGATCGAGTGCTGCTTGTTCTGCCCTGCGGCCCCTGCGGGGGAAGGAGGAGGGCCGCCGGCAGCGCCGGTTGAGGAAGGGGCCGGTCTACCCGCCCGCCCCCCTCCCGGGCAGGAGCCGGAGCTGCTGCGATACCGAGGGCGGCTTGGGCCCGCCCGCCCGCCGGCGACACCTACACTTTTTGGAGGTCTCCACGTCTTCGCCTCTCCGCTGGGCCGCCAGCACAGCCTGAAGAGCAACGGGAGCGTTACCGGGCCGTGGAAGGAGAGCCGGGCCGCCCCTTCAAGGGAGAGGACCCGCTTCCTCCGCCGGACGCCTTCGGGGCATCCCGGGCAACCGAACCCCCTCCCGGAGGCGGGCTTTCTTGGCCGGCAGGGGGCGCCCTGCGAGCGCGACGGCCCGGAACGGGGATAGGGGGAGGCGCGGATCCCGTCCCGGCAGCGACACCGCCGGGGCGCTCCCGGTTGACCCCCCCGAGCCGGTAAAGCACCCAGGCAGGCCGAGCGCCCCCCTGCGAACGGAGCCTATGCAAATAAGGGCTGGGTGGGCGTGCCCTCCCGAGATTGACGCGGGCCCTACGCAGGCACTCCTCCCACCGGGAGATGGGCGGGGATTGAAGAGGGTGCGCAGGCGCGCTCCTGCCCTCCCTTCACCTGCTTCGATTTGGCTTGAGCCGCGCTAGGCCCCTTCTTGCGCAGCACCGTCACCGTATCCCAGTCGCTCTCCGCCATGGCGTCTCGGATTCCTGCTTCTGCTTCTGCCGCCGCCTCTTCGCTGCTCAACCTCCGCAATAGGCCGTCCCTCTCCCCGTTCCCTCCCTCATCCCGTTTATCCCTCGCGAGGGCGGAGCGCGCGGCACCTCCATTGGGCCGTCCCGGTGCCGCTCAAGGACGAAACCTCAAGGAGATTGGCTGAGGAACAAGTCTCCTCCCTCCCGACGGGCGGGCTCATACGTCACAATAACTGTCACACCTCCACATCGTGTTTTGAAGTCTTTTAATAGATCAGCTCTTTTGTCGATCAAGGCTCTCCGTCCTAGGATTGGTCGAGAGGAGTTTTCTGCAAGGCTGTACCTGAGAATTCTCCCAGAAGCCCCTTCGCAATAGGTTGTCCCTCAAGCCGTTCAAGACGCTGTGCCGTATGATTGGCTGGAACAAGGTTTGCCCCTCCTCTTAGGAAGATACAACAATCCGAAAGCGATGACGGCCAACACTCTTCTTCAGGAGCATGCGCAGAAGCTGCCTGGCCGGCAGGTCAATCTCTTAATCTTAGAGGCGAATCCAATTGTCCAGGGAAACTTCGCTTCTTCCGAATGACGCTCCACCTGTCACCACCACCCGGCGGACCGTGTCTGCCCTCCCTCCCTTCCCTCCCGGGCTCGGCCAAGGATGGCGTATCATGAGGGGAGTCAAGGGGTTCCTAAGCAACTCAGCTCTTTTCTCTCAGATGCCTCATCAAGGCAACATCCCCCCCACCCCAAACCCCGGCCAAAGACGGATGAACTTGCGGCTTGACCGTCGCGAACAACGAATCTTCCTCCGGTCGGAAAAGAGCCGCTCCCCTCTGGGAACCGAGGCGACATGGAGGCGCTTCGATCGTACGCAGCCGATCCCGGCTCCGAGGCGCCGCCGACTGCAGCGCCCAGAAGCAGCCTTCCCGCGCTCCGGACAACGTCACCCGGGAAGCCACGCCCCCGCGCGAATAGCAACGGAGGGGCGGGGCCGGGGAGGGCGGGGCTTCGGAAGCGGCGATGCCCGAGATAAGGCAAAGGGCGGAAGCGCTGGGTGGAGCTTACGGGAACTTCCGGTCGGCGTTTGGGTGGCCGGACGCGGCTGCGGGTGAGTGGGGGAGGGGGGGAGGCGACAACCGCGGTCGTAGAGCGGGCCTCTCTCCGCGGGGGGGGTCGGCGGCGGGGGGCGTTCCCCGGGCCCTCGCGACGGGGAGGGGAGGGGAGGGGTCCGGCGGGCTTTCCCCTCCCCACCTGGCCTCCCTGCCGCCGCCGCCGCCGCCGCCGCATCGCCCAGGGCCCGGCTCGGAGGGCCCCGCGGGGCGGCACGTGGCTCCCGCCCGCGGAGGCTTCCAGGGGCTTTCCAGAGCCGTGACGCCCGAGGCAGGAGCTCCTCCCCCGGCCGAAGGAGCCGCGAAGGGGCGGGGGGGGAAAAAGAGCCCTCGTTCGGGGCGATGTCGCGGTGGCCGCTGCGGATCCGGGGCGTCGGCGGGGACCGAGAGGCCGGGGAGCCCCTCCGCCCAGCCGGACGCTTCCCCGACGGGCCCCCTGGCTGCGGCGCCTCCGGGGGCGGTGAAAGGCGCCGGGTGGTCCCCGGTCAGGAGGCGCGCCGGATTCCGGCTGGAGGTAGGTGGGAGAGGCTGGCCGGCTCTCCCCCGAAGCTTCGCTCTCCCGGGCTCCCGCCCTTCCCTTCCCTTCCCGGGCATGAGACGGAGAAGGCGAGTCCGGCTCTTGTGCAGCCCAGGCGGCGGATGGAGCCCCAGAAAGGAGGGGAGGCGGTGATGCCCGGAAGGTGCAGGATTGGGGGGGTGTTCAATGAATGGCCGGCAAGGAGAGGAGGCTCTTTTGAGTGGGGGTCCTGATGCCCTTCCTTAGCCCAGCTGCCAGTGAGGCTGGACCAGGCTTGACCCTCTCTCTCTGCCCGGCCTGGGGAGACCTGCTCAACCAGCCCTTGTGGACGAGGGTTGCCAGCGGCTGAGCTGCTTCAGCTGGGGCCCCAGTTGGCAGCGGCAGCAGCAGGTGGGTGGAGGGTCATTCGGTGTTCCCGCTATGGAGAGGGAGCTGAAACCGTGGCCTCCTCCTTCTTCTTCTTCTTCCTCCCCAGGGTTGTGAAGGCCACGCAAACAGGCTGGTTCACATGGCATCGGCCAACGCCACCCCTCCTGGCTCTTTGGACGTGAACCAGCCAGGCTTCCCCAAGGAGATTCTGGGCACTGAACTGGTGGGCAAGTACCTGTGTTCAGAGTGCCGGAACATTTTGCGGCGTCCGTTTCAAGCCCAGTGCGGTCATCGCTACTGCTCCTATTGCTTGAAGAAAATTCTAAGGTGTCCTTGGCTTGCTTTAGCTTGATCCTCCCACTCACGCATCCTTTGCAGATTGGAGAAAGCGTGCGGGGTTTCAAACACTCTCCCCCGCCGCCAGGTCTGCAAAGATCACCCTCTCCCCAAACTCCTTACGCCTTGCCAAGGGCTTGGGGGGAACGGATCCCTCCCATGGCTCGATGGCCTAAGCCGGCAGTCCCTTCCAGCTTTGGCTCTTGATGGGAAAGATCTCTTAGGATCACCCCCACGTGCAGTTTCGCCCACTTAGTTCCGAACCAAATTCTCACACCCCGCGCCCCCCAAACTGCTACACCTTTTGCGTTAACTCTCCACCTCCGTCCCTCTGCAGAAAGGAAGGAAGCAAGTAAATCGCCCTTTGCAACAAAGAGAGTAGCTGCTTAATTATGTACCTAGGATAGGCAATCTGACACCTGCCAGTCTGGGTGTTATTCCCGTTGCTTCTAGAGTTGTAATAGGGTGGGCATCAGCTGCACACCTCAGAAGCAGTCAGGGTGGCCTGACTGAAAAGGAAGGGCGATGCTTCCAGTCTCTAAACACCTCCGACCGGGAAACCATCCTCCCTTGTGTAGGTGGCCAACAGCCGTGCAATCGGTAGGAGCCCAACAAAGCTAACTGCATATGCTCAGAGAGACACGGACTGGTGGCTTGTCTTGCCGGGGGGGGGGAAAGGCTTGGGAGTTGACTTGGGAGGCTCTCTGGGTGGTTCTCATGGTCTTCCTCTTCCCCACCAGCTCAGGGCCCCAGAAGTGTGCAGCCTGCCTTCAAGAGGGGTTGTACGATGAGGGCGCCTCCATCTTGGAAACGGGGGTGGTAAGTACAGCCCCCTCGAGCGGAGTTTTGTCCTGCCATCCAGAGGGTCGGACTGGCTCGGCTGGGTCAGATGGAGGGGCCTTGAAGTGAAGGCAAAGGGGGTTTCCCCCTCCCCGGTTTCTCTTCCGAAGGCTTCCCTCGGAAGCTCCTCGGTGCAAATTCTTTGCATTCCAAGGGGCTGCGGTCACAAACCTCCCAGTAACTGGGACAGGCGTGAAGAGGGTCTGGTGCTTTCTCCGTCCCAATCAGGGAAGGTTTCTGCCCAGCCAGCCGGTCAGTCGGCCGGGGAAATACCTCCACCTCGCTCTCTCCGAGCAACCCTTCCCATGGAGGGTGACTTGCCGGTTTGGCCGCGGATTGTGCCAGAATCGGCAGCCACCCCGTGTTCTCCCTTGGCCAAGCTGCCGGTGTGGAGTTGACCGGTCGGCTCTCCGTGCTTGTTTAATCCTTCCCTTTCTGGCCCCTCGAGGCTTTCCCAGACAACGCAGCTCGGCGAGAAGTGGAGAGTCTTCCAGCCATCTGCCCCCACCAGGGTTGCTCGTGGAAAGGCACCATAAAAGAATATGAGGTAAAGATCCCAGAAAAGGGAGCCTTGAGTCACCCTTCCTCCGTCTGGGCCAGGAGCGCGAGGGGAAAGCTGGTGCTGTTTGGGGGAGTCAGAGGGTGCCTTCCATGCGACTTTGGGGTTCGCTGCTTGTCCTCCCCTAAAGCAGGGGCTTTTTTCCCCCTCCACCACATGTCCAGGGGCATCCCCTCCCCCCCCAGCGGTCAGTTTGAGTCCGCAGGGAGAGCAAGCAGCCCTGGGTCTAAGGAGCATGTGCCACCTTCTCTCTGTAGGGGAAGATGGAAGGGCCTGGGGTGAATTCTGTGGCCAAAGATCGAAGCCCACCTCCCCTCCCTGAAGAGGCCCCCTTGCATTGACCCCCCCCCCATGAACCACGCGACCTTCTGGGGACGGGCAAAGTCTTCTCCAGCCCCTCTCCTCTTTCCCATGGGGAACTAGAGGCTGAACCTCAGCCAGGCGCCAGTCTGTGCTGTGCCTGCAGCTGGGCTGCGTGCTTTGAATGTCAGAGCTTCCAGGCTGGAAAGTCCCTGGCGGAAGCCTGCAGAGTTGGAAAGTCCCTAAAATACTGGCTCCTTACTCAGCCCCCGAGGACGGGGCCTGCTGGCAGCGCCTCTGCTCTGCGCCTGGTCTCGGGTCCTGGGACAGCTTCTCCTCCCTGTCATCCGACACGAGCAAAGAGGAGCCCGCCTCCCCCTCCTCCCCTGAGACCACCAGCAGGCTGCCTCCTGGCGCTGCTTTTACTTTCTCTTTGGGCGGGGTGTGTGTGTGTGAGAGAGAGGCTCGGCCCTGGAAAGTGAAAGTGCTTCCCTGCTACTTTTCAACCCTTGAGAAAAGTCCAGCGAGGCGTCCCGGTAGCCACAGAGGTGCCCCAGTTGCAGCTCTGCTTCCAGATGTGCTGCTTTCTGGCTCAGCGCCGAGAGGAGCTTTTGCTGTTCGGCTTCCAGGCCTAGTAAGAGTGCAAATTGGCTCCCAGGAGGGTTCTGAAGCTGGAACGCCCCAACCAAGCAGACCACCCTCTCCAACTCCCCTCCGTTTGGGCCCTGCTCTTTGGAAGGCTCAGCCGGAATACGCGGAGGGACACCTGCCTCTTTGCAACAGTAGCTTGCGTGCTTCAGTCTTCCCCAGATCTGCGGGGTTCCTACCTGAAGCAGAGCAACGGCAGGCCTCGCCCCTGGCCAGCCTCCCAGTGTGTTGATTTGGGGTGCAGAGAGTCAGTGCAATGGGGCGTTTGGGACTCCCTCCCAGCACAGCCTTCGAGTGCTGAAATGCCCATCCTTTCGCTGCAGAGCTGCCACGAGGGGAGCTGCCCGGCCATGCTGGTGGCCTGTCCTGCGTGCCACAGCCTGGTCAGGCTGGGCGAGAAGGAGCGGCACACCGAGCAGGAGTGTCCCGAGAGGAGTCTCACCTGCAAATACTGCCACGCCCTTTTCCACTTCTCCGAAAGCAAGGTACGGGCCAGAGCCGCCCCGCTTCCCAACCCAAAGCCGAGGACCCCCCCGCTAGGAAAAGCCAGCTGAATTACTGCAGCAGCCGCCCTCAAAAGCGTCCCAGTTCAGAGCACGAAAGGTGCAGCCTTGGTCTCGACTGCTCAGGTGTGCCCTGCTTCCCAGGAAGCGGAGAGCTCTGCCTTCCGGGCAGCCTAGCAGTGGAAGGCCGGCAGCGTCCTCGAGAGGAGAGGCGGGGCAGATTGTGGGCTAACCTGCTGCTGTTTTATTTTGCCAGGCCCACGAGGCAATGTGCCCCAAGCTTCCTCTGGCCTGTGAGGGGTGCGGAAAGAAGAAGATCCCCCGGGAGAAGGTTAGCAGGGCTCCTTGGGTTTAGCACCCCGTTTCTTCTGCAGACTCCCCCAGAAGCACCCCTGGGGCCACCCACCTTTCTACCCGCCTCCCCATGACAGGGCGGGGCGGCGTGCTACCCAAAACACCACCACCACCCCTCCACCAGCGGAGGACGCGAGGAGGCTTCCCCGGGCCAGGTTCTGGAGGAAAAGGGGTGCCATACCTGGTGCGTTCAAGACGGGCCCACGGCACCCGCCTCGCCTCCTGTTGTCCCAGCCAATGGGGCAGAAATGCCCCTTGGCAGTGGGTGAGAGGATGGGCCTCCCGCTCCTTTTGAAGCTGCCCTTCCCCTTTTCCGCAGTTCCTGGAGCACGTCAAGACCTGCAGCAAATGCAAGGCCCCCTGCAGATTCCAGCCGGTCGGCTGCACCCACTTGGTACGGCTGCTCTGGGCTTCAAAACAGGGAAGGGGAAGAGTGTGGGGAGGAGGAAAGACTGGCACTGGAGCAGCCCCGTTCAGCCGCCTGGGCAGCATCCGTCGCTGTGTGCTGGCCGGCCCCTGGCGGCCCCCCATCAGCCAAGCCCCCGAGACCAAAAGCCTTGGTGGCCCCTGACTGCCCCTCCTCCTCCCCAGATGGAGAACGAGCAGCTCCCCGAGCACGAGAGGAGCCACCTGGGCGAGCACCTCTACATGCTGCTGAGCTTCGTGCTGAGCTTGGGCTCCGCGTCCAGCAAACTGGAGCCCCTGCTGGACCGGCTCTCAGCCGAGGCCGGCTGCGTCCTGGCGGGGGGCAGGCCCCTGGTCCCCGAGCCGGAGCTGCCCAGCTCCTTAGAGCTGCTGGGGAAATGCGAAGTCCTGGAAAGGAAGACCGTCACGTTTGAGAACATCGTCTGTGTGCTGAACCGGGAGGTGGAGAAGGTGTCGCTCGTGGCCGAAGCCGCCAGCCGGCAGCATCAGCTCGACCAGGAGAAGATCGAGGCCCTCGGCACTAAGGTGGGATGGGGTCGGTGGCTCCCTGGGGGCTATTCGGAGCGGGGCTTGCGGTCTTCTTCCCGGCCTGGGGGGGGTGGGGTGGGAGCAGAAGGGGCCGCTTTGCGTGGCCTGGAAGAGGGCTTGGGTTCAGCTGCAGGGCTTTGCATGCTCTCAGAGGCACCGGAGCGATTGCGAGCCCCCCCGGGTGTTTCCTTCCTGGCCCAGGTGCGGCAGCTGGAGAGGAGCATCGCCTTGAAGGACCTGGCCTTGGACGAGATGAAACACGCCATCCAGGAGATGGAGGCGGCCTCCTACGACGGCATCTTCATCTGGAAGATTTCGGACTTTGCCCGGAAGCGGCAGGAGGCGGTGGCGGGGCGTTCTCCGGCCATTTTCTCCCCAGGTGGGAAGACCCCTGCTCTGGTCTTGGGGTGGGCCCGGGAGGAGGGGCTGCAGCCCAGAAGGGACTGGGATGGTGTCCTGCAGGGCTTCCTCCCAGCTGTCTCTCTCTCTGCTCGGCCAGCCTTCTACACCAACAAGTACGGCTACAAGATGTGCCTGCGGATCTACCTCAATGGGGACGGCACCGGGCGGGGCACCCACCTGTCTCTCTTCTTCGTGGTGATGAAAGGACCCAACGACTCCCTGTTGCGATGGCCTTTCAACCAGAAGGTAGGGGGGACCCTGTGGGCCACGAGGGGGAGTGGGGGGGGAAGAGGCTTCTGGAGTCCCGGAGCAGCCTTTCCTGCCTCCGACCCCTTGGCGCCCTCTGGGGTTTGTTTGCAAGGACATGGGGGATCCAGAGTTGAGGATGGCTACCACTAGGTTCCTGTCTCACCCACCCCCGTAGGTTACCCTGATGCTGCTGGACCAGAATAACCGTGAGCACATCATTGATGCCTTCCGGCCCGACGTGGCCTCCTCCTCCTTCCAGCGGCCCATCAGCGACATGAACATTGCCAGCGGCTGCCCGCTCTTCTGCCCCATCGCCAAGATGGAGTCCAAGAATTCCTACGTGCAGGAAGACACCATCTTCATTAAAGCCATTGTAGACCTCACGGGCCTTTAACGCCTTGCCCACTGGGGTCTCGGAGCACGGGGCTGTCCCTGGGCGGGGAGGAGGGGAGGCAGATCTGGACGGCCCCCTGGGCAACAAGGGCCTGGCGGACCTTCTTTCAGCCTTGGACAGCCCCTCGCGGAGAGGTGGCTTGGAAGCCCAGCTGGGCCCTGAAGGAGAGGCCTTTCCCAGTCCCAAGCGTGCCCTGGGGCTCCTCTGCTGCCTTGGACTGGGGTGGCCGCTGCCTAGGCTAGAGAGGCTGGGCGCTCCAGGTCCAGCAACTGTTTGGGACGGCCTGGCAGAGCCGCTGGAAGGGAGCTGCTCCTGACCAGCCTGCGTCTACCGCCAAGCGATCCGCGCTACCCGTTCCCAGGGCACAGAGGCCTGGGTAGCTGCCAGGAAAGCTGAGGAAGGGGCGGAAGGGTTCCACGGGCACAGTGGTCCCAATGGAGGAGCCCTGGACAATTGTCATCCCGCCCCCCTTCTCCACTTGGTGGGGAGGGGCGCTCCTCTGAGTAGGAGGAAGATCTCCCAGGAGCTTTCGGGCCGTCCTGCTGAAATGCTCTTCCCTGGAAAAGCGAGAAAGCCGAATAAAGCATTATAGAGGCGAGCCCCTCACCGTTTTGCTCATCTTTGGGGAGAGGGCGCTGGCCCCACCAGAGAGCAACCCACCCACCCTCCCTCCCTGGGCCTTCTTGGAGGCCAGGGTCTCCTACCCATCTTGTGCCTGGCGCCTGCCACAAAAGAGGGCCTCTCTTTGCCAGGGGGAGTGGGCGCAAAAGGCCCTTGCGGAAGCCAAAGATTCTCAGCGCGAGAGCAACAACTCAAGCCAAGTTTATTAAGACCAACAAGCCGTGCTGCGCTGGGTAGCCAACTGGAGCCCCTGGGTAGGGCGCGGAAGCAGCCCCACCCCTCCTCAAAAGTGCACACACAAACAAGCTTTGCAAAAGGAGTAACGCCACACCTTCCCTTTCCCCCCCCCCCCCTCCAAAGCAAATGTTTTGCAAGGGGCGACTCCCCACCAAGCCAGGGAGGGATCCGTGCTCCTTCCCAGGAGCTGGCGGGCTGCAGCTCCAAAACCTCTGAGGGAGGGTCTTTGCCACCTGGGGTCAACGAGAGCAGAGGCACTGAAAGGGAATCCAGCGCAGTGCCCAGCTCCGTTCCTCTTACCTCCCCGCCGAGCAGAAATTCACCAGGGCCAGCGCAGGTTTCCTGACTCCATCCGTGGCTCTTCAAAGCCCAGGGAGCCACGTCGGAGGGTGGCGGCACCCTACAGAACACCATGCCAGCCCGCAAGCCTCCTCCAAAAGGCCATTGAGCCGCTGCACCTGCGCCTCCGTTCCTCGAAGGGCGATTCATCCGGGCCTCCCCCCCAAGCAGGGCATCCGTGAAGGTGAGCGGACTGGGCCAGGGTCGCTTGCAGGGGAATGGACCCTCCCTGGCCCAAGGAAGCCAGCCCTGCCCCGGATCACGTCCCCTGCTCCGTGTCGCAGGAGAAGAGGTGCCTACGAAGCCAGGGCTTCTCGCCGTGAAGGAGCCGTGCGGTGCGGGGGGAGCGCCAGACTTTGATGGTGCTGTCCCCGCAGGCTGTCAGGAGGAGCTCCTGTTCCGCGGGGCTGAAAGCCACCGAGTTGACCACGTCGTCATGCTGCAGTTTGGCCAAGCAGATGTCGTAGTGGCGGTCCCAGATGTATCCGTGGCGATCCTCGGCCCCACTGCGCGGGAGAAGGAGGAGACGACGTTGGGGGGGACCACAGAACAAAGCTGGAAGCGAAGCTCTGGGAAGGTCACTGCACCCCAACTGCAAAACGCCTCGAAAGGCACCACGGGATCCGGAAGCTAAAGGAGCCTCCGCTGGGCGGGGCGGAGACTGCCTCACCTGGCCACAAAGTCCCTGCTGACATCCAGGAAAATGAAGTTGAACTCTTCGCTGGGGGTGTAGGCCCGGTGTGCCCGCAGGGCTCGCTTGGCCTCCTTCATGGTCTTGAGGTCCAGCACACGCAACTCAATCTCCTCTGCGATGGGCGGGGGCTGCAAAGGGTCGGAAACGACGCAGCCCTCGGGCCAAGCACGGCTGTTGACGTACAAGTACCTGGAGGGCAGGGAGAGAGAGGAGAGCCTACAAGTCCCACTGGCCTTGTGGAGGGCGAGAGCTGGGCGACAGGAGGCTCCTGCTTGGCCAGACGCCCAGATAGCCCTTCTCCAGTCCCTACCCCTCCAAAAAACTTTCCCCACGGAGCACAGGCATCGCGCCACCTGGCCTCCGACCCGTGCCCAACTTCTCAAATGTCGCTGGCAGCACTCCCTACCTGTGGTCTGGGGAGAGGCCCATGCCAACGATATGCCCGTGAATGTCAATGACATGATCCAGCGAATCGAAAAACCTCTCCGAATTCCTCTCTTCCCCCAGAACGGGGCCCACGGTGGTCATTTGGTGGGGCAGGATCTGCTTAATTCCTAGAGGGGAAGCCCGGAGGGCAACTTGCTAGCTCACTTCCTGCGTCTCACAGGATGTGGCACCGACCGCCTCCGTCCGGGCAACCTAGCCAGGCATGGGGCCTCCAAGGGGAGCCAGCCAGATATTCCAGCAGGGCTTTTTCCTATTGCTCGTCCCATGGCTCTGGTTGACAATTCCCCAAGGGGAGAGGGCCCCTCAGTGGCCATTTGTTCCACCCCGCAAGGAAAAAGGGCGCCCAGGTCCCTTACCAATCTGGTGCGGTGAGTAGGTGAGGCAGCCGGTGGTGAAGACCAGGTATTTCTTGTTTCCGCCCTGCAGGGAGAGCAGGTTAGGCTCCGGAGGCTTCGTTCGGTTCTTGGCCAGGAGCCGGGCTACTTTCGTCTCCATCTCCATCTCCGTCAGCGTTGGCCGGACCCGTCCCTCCATGATGTCACTCAGGAAGCGGTCCAGCCCATCTTCGGTCCCCGCCTCTCCTTCGGCCACCGGAAAACCCCTCCTCTCCTCCGCCTGGCTGTGGGTCTCCTTGTGGGGAGGAGCAGGGCTCTCCCCCACCTCCTCTCCGGGGCTGGCCAGCTCACCAGCGGAGCTGTAGCGGCTGCAATCCACCACCATGATGGTCCGGATGGTGCTGGCATTCAGGTTCTGGATTTTGAAGAGCCGTTTCACCACGTTAACGTTCTCGGACTCGACGCCCTGCAAGCAGAGGGCAAGCCGAGTCAGGCGGCAGGGGGGCCAGGGCTCCCCCCACCCCCTCATCCCCACCCCCAGGTCACCCCGGCCTCGCTTCACCTGGAAGGCGTTGTTCAGCCATAACACGGAGCAGGAGGTGAGATACCCGATACGGTGCAGGTTGCTGGAAATCAAGTTGGTCTCGTTCAGCCAGCAGCCAAACGCATCGCAGGGCTTGTTGCGGACTCGGGACAGGAGTTCGAAGTTCTCTAAAAGGAGGACAGGCTGGTGGTGATGGGTGCGAATCGTCCTGAGCTAGCGGAAGAGGATCTGGAGGGAGGGGAGCCTCCTCTTCTGCCTCCCACTGCCCAGGATCCCCTGTCCCCCATATCTGCCCCATCCAGGCTGGCCGGTTCTTCCAAGGAGAGAGAGTCCTTCTAGGGCAGGTGGGGGGTCTCCAACCTTGGCCACTTTAAGCCTGGTGGACTTCAACTCCCAGAATTCCCCAGCCAGCTTTGCTGGGTTGTAAGCCGTAAAACTGTAAGCTGGCTGGGGAATTCTCTTGAGTTGAAGTCCGCCAGGCTTCAAGTGGCCGAAGTTGGAGAGCCCTGGTCTAGGGGCTCGCTCCCCCCCCCACGCCCGCTCCTTACCCAGGCCGATGACGGCAATCTCCCCCGAGGAGGAGCTTCGGGGCCCCATGAAGACCCCGGAGACCAAGAGGAGAGAATCGTCCGCGTTGAACTGGGAGAACTGCGTGTAGCTCCAGTTGTACTTCTTCATGCTGGTGCTGTGCAGCAGGGAGACCGGGAGGTCGTTGTCCCAGATCTTCAGCCAGGGAGGAGGAGGAAGAGGAAGAGGAAGGCCGTCGGTGGGAGGGGTGGGGCAGCTCCAAAGACCCCCCACCCCGGTTTTTTTAGCGCCAGCCCACCAGAACGGGCAGCAGCAGCTCCTTTCCCAACCGGGTTTGGCCAACCTGGGGCTCAAAGCGGGGGGGGGGCTTAATCCCCCCCCCCCCACCCCCCCCCCGGGACCCCCCCTCCCCACCTTGACGGTGCAGTCCTTGGAGCAGGAAGCGAAGAGGAGGCCGCTGTGGGCGAAGCTAAGGTGGAGGACCGGCTCCCCGTGTTCCCGCAGGCTCTGCACCTCCACGCGCGGGACGGCCTCGCCCAGGCGCTGGAACTCGCCGTACCAGGAGGCGGCAGCTGCGGCGGAAACGGAGAGCGGCTCCCGAGGCTGCGCGGGGCCCTTCGGCAGCTCCCCCCATCCCTCCCCGGGCTCCGTCCCCGCCGCCGACCTGGGTGCCGCGGGACGTGGCGGGCGACGCCGTAGTGCCGGTAGAAGAGCCCCTTCCACAGGACCTCGTCCCGGGCCACCCGCCGCCACTGCCGGCACACCCGGCCCGCCGCCAGGACGCCCGCGGGCGGCAAGTGCCGGAAGATCTCGACCAGGAGGCTGTCGGGGAGCATGGCCGCATCCTGCCCGGCGGGCCGCCCCGGACCACGGAGGCTCCCGCCGAGAGCGGCCCCTTCCCGGCCGCGCACGCCCTTCCGGAAAGAGCGCCGCGGCACTTCCGGCCAACGGAAGCCGAAGAGGGACGAGATCCCGCTCCACGCTTTCCCCCCTTCCCCTCCCCTTCCCCCCGCCACGCTCGAGGAATTCTGGGAGTTGAAGTCCACACTTGGTTAAAGTTGGTTAAGCTCGTTGGGCGTGAGAGCGGACTGGGGGCTGCAGGCGGGTGGCAGCATCTGGGAGGACATACCGCTGTTGAAGGACCCCCCCCTCCCCGAGAACCAACCAAGGGGCCACTTGGGCCAGGCCAGCCCAGATGCCACTCGGAAAGCTGGCAAGCAGCGTTGCAGTGGCCCCACCTGGAATTCCTCTTATTAAGAATAGAATTCTTTTATTGGCCAAGTGTGGTTGGACACCCAAGGAATTTGTCTTGGTGCAAATGCTCTCAGTGTACATAAAAGAAA